ATAAATCAAGCCTTATTGTTACATGTGTGCATGGGCTTCTTGCCCCTGCTGTTTTGGTGAGGGCAAGTTGGACTGTGACTTGCCTTTTGTTCTTTAGTGTCTGCTTCCTACACATACAGCGCCTTAAACACAGAAGGCATTCAGTACGTCAGATATGAATAGTAGCAGATGCTTTTCCTTTGTAATTGTTTATGCTTTTTACCATTCTTTCTCCACTTCTATATCTACATGTAGTATGTGTGTGTGTTTCCAGTCTTCTTTAAGATACTTAAAATCCAGTTTGCTTTGGTTTAAAAAGCATCACTACATCACGAATATCTTTGTAGCCAATGGTTCTTAGCTATATTTACTATTGTTTCTAAAAATAGTCTAAATAAATCTGAGTGTTCAGCATTATGTTAATTCTAGATTTTTGACTATTCTAGAAAGTTGGTGTTTTATAAATAGGCTTTCACTGTATTCCGGCAGTTGTTAAAGTTTGTTCCCTAAGGTAGGTTAGGCCGTCCACAGGGTCAAAACTATTGTCAATGAATGAAGACCTTACTTGCCTTTTTCACTTGATGGTAAAAAGCAGTGGTAGGTGGCCAGGCATGGTGGTACATGGCCTGTAGTCCCAGCTGCTTAAGAAACTAGCTGCTGACCACTTGTTTTAAACTAGCCTGAAACTATGCCACTAGAGTAGGTAGTGTATTGAGATAACATCTCAAAAAAAAAAAAAAAAAAAGTAGTAATGGGTAGATCATAAATGAAAGGCAAGATCCAGACAGTTTTAGTATTCATTGTATACTTATATTTTTAAGTGCTGATTTCACATAAAATTTTTCAGTGAAGTAATAAAAAGTTTATTAAATCTAAATTCGTATCTGGATGTGGTGGTACACACCTGTAATTCCAAGCACTTGGGAGGCAGAGGCAGGAGGATAGATAGGAGTTCAAGGCCAGCCTGGACTATGTTGCAAGACCCCATCTCCCAAAAATAACCCTAAGAAGTAGATTTCTTACTATTGTGTGAAACATATAATGTGTAATACCCTTTATTTCATCATACTGGTACAGTGGCTGTCTCAAGGAGAAGCATTTGAGCAATTGCTTTAACATTTTTTTCCAGGTCTTTTATTAGTGCATATTGGTTACACAGGTTAATGGGTTTATAGGTCCCTGAAGACCATTGGGCCCACACAGGGAAATTTACTGGGTATAAACCAGGTTACCTGGTTACTTTCTTCCATTGGTCCTTTTTTTTTTCTTCTTCTTTTTTTACCCATTGGTGTTTAGACCTGGATATCTTGTACCTGGATTGAAGTTTATCTTCGAAAGTGGGCTCCATGGCAGATCCTCCCTTCTTTCTTGTCTTTTTTTAGCTACTTCCTTCCTCACAATGTTACAAAATAATACACAGTTTAGAGTTGATTAAAATGCAGCATAGGGCAGTGGGTTTAATGTAACACAATGCAAGATGTTTTGTGTTATGTTTTGAGACTCAGTATTGCGTGTGACTAATCTTTAGGAAGCTGTTACATGTCAAGTTTGCTATAGTATCAAAGAATAGTCACTGTAATTTAAAAAGGATGTGAAGATACTAGCCTCACCTAAATGAAGTACTTGATTAATGTTATGTACAAATATGGCTCATGAGCTTTATAATGATTAGTATCGTTTTATAACAGTTAATGGGAGAGGCTAAGAGTTTTAGGGTATAACACTTTCGATTACTTTTCTCTAGTTGCTGAGACAAAATACCCAATGTCCAAAATTAAGGAAGGAAAGGTTTATTTAGCTCACAGTTTGTGGAAGTTTCAGTCCATACTCGGCTGGCTCCAAGGCAGAGCGGTACATGGCAGAGGGCAACAGTTCATAGCAGCGGAAGACAGCAAAAGCCACAAGAACAAAAGGGTGGGGGACAAGCCTCTCTCCCCCCTTACATTGTATTCCAGCTATCCGCCCACACCCAGACCATCTCCCTGCCCTCCTCTTGCACAGGGTCAGGATGTAGCTGCTGAGTCACTAGAATCCTCAAATTGATACAGTGTATCAACCATAACAACTTTATTTTGTGCTTTTTTGAGCCAGTTTCACTGTGTAGTTTAGGCTGACCTTGAACTCATAGCCATCCTGCTGCTTCAAGCCTCTGATTACTGGGATTACAGGCCTTTGCCACCATGGCCAGCATTTGGATTTCAGATTGATAACTTTCTTCAGATTGATAACTTTCTTCTCTTTTGGGCAAGTTGTTTCTTTACTCTTAACCTTAGTTCTGTCTATAAAATGTGATATTTCTCAGAGTTGTTGTCAAAATTGAAATGTTCATTATATTTGAGAATCTGTAATGACCTAGAAAGTACTTAATGACAACCATTTATTGCCTTTGAAATATTCATGTGGTTGTTTGCTTTTTATAATTAATTCATTGACTGGGGATATAGCTCAGTGGCATAAGCACACCTGCCTGGCAAGCTCAAGGTCCTGTGTTCAATTCCCAGTACAAAAAAA